GGAAGAGCAGGAGACCAGAGAACTGAAAATGTATAGAGAAGAAATGCCAGTGAGACTAACTTGTTGACCAGGTCTGAATTGGATTAAATACTTTGAAAGAATGAACATATTTAATATACTGAAAACAAATGTAGATAAACGTGATCGTATGGTAGATGAATAGGAGCTAATAATGTATTCTGCAGTAAATAAAGGACAGTAAAATCAGACCATAAAAGAAAATAAACAGGAGAGAGTTGCATTATCCCATTTTTAGACTGAAATACATTATTACACACTTAATAACCATTATTGTTGTGTTCATGGCATCACAGAACATATGAGATGACATTTCTTGGCTCGACAGTCTTTCCATTCTCGGTTAGATGATACAGATCTGAGATACAATAGATCAGCTTACAATAAGTAGTCAGATGCTGGAACACTTCAAATAGTTTTCAAAGTGCTTTTCTTTATTTATTTTACGAATATTCTTGCATATCTAGATTGATCTTGTAACTACCACTCAGTTAACATGATTACTTAAGGAAGTAATCCACTGACTAGAAAGAGATTTTTTTATATGAATAGAGATTTTAACATTGGATCCTGAAAATATCGAAACAGGTAAGAACACACTTGGCACAAAAGCTTTCAGTTAAAAAAAGGACAGCTTCCTTATATTTCATCTTAAGCACACTAGCTCAAAAATCTGTTAGGGAATGCATTAGCAGAGATTCTTCAGCTTACCTGGAATCTCCCACTGAATGGGAACACCAGGGTTCCTCCTCCTCCTCCCCCCATTATAGTACGCAGGCCACGAATATACTAAATATATCTAAAAGTGGTAAAAATACATCTACATTCATACTATTCATACTATATTCCATGGCTTCATGGAACCTGAATGAATGTTCAACATACCAGAATGCCCACTGGGTACCAATTTGCTCATCAGAATCATGAAAAAACTTTGAAGTATAAATGACCATTGCTATGAAAGTACTTTTAGGAAGAATACTTCCTGTGATTGTTTTTTGGTGGTTGTTTTGTTTTTTAAAAGTTAAAAAATGAAAAAGTATGCATCAGAATACATTTCCATACTAAATGCAGCAGGCACTGAGAAAAGCAAAGCAGATATAGTTTATGTATTCAGGACAACTTTGCGAAAGTGTTTCCACTACCAGTAAGGCTAAATTAATAATGACAAAAGAACTCCACTGTTGGCATTGTTATAAATGTAGGAGTTTTATAAGCACTGTAAATTATAGTTAGATTGTACTTGCAATGCATAAATAGTGCCACGCAACAGGAGACTTCCATCTTCAGTCACTGAGAGTAATAATAATTCCTTATCAAACATTTAGTTCAATGCTTTTTAAACACCATGCTATATCATGGGCATTTTTAAATGCCCATTTTTTTAGGTGTTATATTGTTTCCTCACAATGACTATGGGCACAGTGTAAGGATTTAGGAGTTGGCTGGGAGAAAGAAAAAAACAAACCAACCAACCCAAAATAACTAACACCCCCATCATGTTTCTTTCCTAAGACTCTCCATTTTAGCTTTCAAACACGTATTCTTTTCAACTATAGCTCCTTATTTTTTGGAAACTATCCAGATCTGTATGACATCCATTTTAATTCTCCATAGTGGCAGAGGGAAGAAGACTACAGCGGAGGAAGTCCAGACTTCAATTTATTTATAGTTATTTTAAATTATTGCACTCTGCTCTTCTAAGCATTGTTAAAAAGTACAGCAAGAAAAATACACTGTAGATGGTGGGAAAGTCTTTCTTCTTCCAGAAATGCTAACATGGACACAATGATAGAGGTTAAATAACTACCATGGTCATTACTTTTTAATGCCACTGTAGCGTTCAAATAGCTGTGTGAAATTAGAACTCTACTTACCCCTGAGAATTGACAGTTTCACTTGCTTTCTGGAGCAACTGTGATAAAATAGTAAAAAGTTTCAACCGCATCTGGGGATCTTTGTTTGGCTGAAGACACGTTTTAAGAATGAGAATGAAGTTATTTAGAGCTTCACCTATGACAGGACCTAGAAAATAAACATGTAAGACTTATTTCAGAGTACTAGTAAGTTCTGTTTAGATGCTTAGTATGCAAGTGCATTAAAATTTGTAACATGCATGATATTAAAATAGTGCTTAAGTTTCCACTCTTGCATGGCAGCTGTTGATGTATCCATGTTACATCGTATTAGGTGGTGTACAAATACCCAAGCTAACTCTCCATGGGCTAACCCACAGTCTTAGTCATGGTAGCATGGTGCTCCCTGAAGATCGGTTTACCCCACATCTCATTTATCCAGCTTGGTATTGCTGTTCTACATTGAATTATGTAGCATGGACATATCAATGACACCCGCTAGTTGCTGGGACCAGCAGTACAAGCTGACATTTTGGGTGGACTAATGCATTTGGGGCAGGGGGATGGCGTGGATTAATTTTGTTCACTATGTAGCTCTGAAAGCTTGAAGCTATGCACAAAGTTTTGGTGTTACTGAACTTAATGAAAAATTACACTGAATCTGTTATGACTATGACACAACTCCAAACAGCGGCATTAACTATGTTTTTTTTCCTTCTTTCAAGTTTTGTCATGTGCAACATTCAAGGAAATATGTTCATGACTCCCAAAGGCAGAGGAAAGGGCATGTTTGAAAGGGTCAGCCTCAAAACCTGGATAATAGACTTATTGCAGTAGTATTCTTTCTCCATGTTTAAATAATGCTTATTTGCATTTTACAAGAGAATTTAAAATATGATGAATTTTAGAAGCTATTTGAAATAAAAACATTTTTCAAATTGATTCTCTAGTTTGTAAATATTTTCACATCCTATGATGAATTGTTTTCACCACTGAACAATAAACAAACAAACCCCTAAGCTGTTATCCCAACATTTGAAGAAATTATTTTCCCAAAACAGAAGGAAGTTTGTGCCTTTCTCCTTGATAATGATTAACACCTGCATGGTTTTAAAGAGGAAGAATACATATAGACTATACATATGCTTTATTCTGCAAGCTTCTTGCTATAGAATGCTCTTTCTGCTCTGTTTGCAAAAAACTACTTTCTTCTAGAACTTCTTCAGCTTTGCAACCTTGTGATGCACATTCCATTCAACTCCAGTCATTCAGAAAATCCTCCCAGAAGGAGACACAACACTGGCATTTCTGATGACAAGAATATTCCTCAAACATGGAATGGATAGATTGAAGTATTCAGGATTCCAAAACAAGTTCAATAGCATTTAATAATATCTCAAAAGTAATGTTTAAATAACCATTAAAAAAACCCCCCAAATCTTCTACTGTCTAGACTGAAGCAATACAGGGTGTTAAACTGCAGTTTGCTAAATTTCTGTGCCAACAAATAGGTCTTTATTTTCACAGCACTTATTCAAAATACATTGCTTCATGTGAGTTCTGAGACATTTAAAAGATACTACTATTATATCAAACCAATAACAGCAAATTCAACAGATGGAAAATAAACAAAATAAACTACATTGCTAATTTCAGCTTAAGCATACATTCCTGAAAAACAGTAAAAACTGAGAAATTTGAAATTAGTAAACCCAATTAAATTGATTAAAACCAACATTATGTGTGGGAATGAAAAGAAAAAAAAGAAAGGGAAAGAAAAAAAAAAGAGCTCTAGGAGCTGCTGTGTCAGACAGAAAACACAGACAATAGCATATTACTAGTGTTGGGTGCAAGCCAAAATGTTTGCCCAGACCTTTGATGATTTATTTAGCATTAAGGAAAACAGAGACAACTGTCTAGAAGTCCCTCAGTCATGGAAATGGGAGAGCAAATATACAGAAAGTTGGCCTCTCAGATCTTGCACTGAAAAAAACTTTTTGTTCTCTCCACAGACAGAAAAGAAGAAAAAGTACTTACGCTGGTTGCTGCACAAACCAGAGTAAGTGGGTGCTTCACATAGGTTTGTTGAGGCTTTTTTTGAGATTCAAGGAATAAATGCAGAAGATGCAGTACCTTAAAACATACCTGTCCACATTTAACTATCTGGAGTAGGAATAATAACACTTCACCTGTAGCTGAAGTAGCTGTCTACATCCCCTCTTTAACTAACAGAAAGGAAAAAAAAAAACACCCATGACTTTTCATTTTAATAATCTTAAAATGGGTATATAGGTGAGAAGAACTGCCTGTCACTGCATCCCTTGCCTGTAGATGCAATCTGGAGAGCTGCATCAGAGGAATGTTCACTGTGCAGATCTGAAGGTAGATGAAACATAAGCCGAAATCTTTTACTAATCTATACACGGCAATGTGTTGAAGAACATAAAAGAGGAAATGTTTGTACAAAAACATAGTATGTTTTATAAGACTAATGAATAGATAGAAAAAAAAAACCCATATAAGTTTTTGGACACATAAGCTACATCAGCTTGTCTCGCCATAATCTTTACCTATTTCCTTTACCTGAAAGCATACTTTTACGTAAGTGCTTTTAGTATGCTCCTTGCAGCCAAGGAGTCTTTTGGCATTTGAGCTGCTTCAACATTTTTTGTTTTGCTTTCTAATATATTCTTGTGAAGTTTCTGAATATTACACTATTCGTTATAAAACACAATGTGTCTACAGGCTATGGATGTTATTACTTTATTTTTTTTTTAGAACTACGAAATAAATTGTACCTGAATGAGTTGCGATGACATCTAACTGTAATATTTCTGGAGAATAGCATATCCAACAATCACATGATACTGAAACCCATTCCATAAGCTGAATTATGTGCTGTTTGTAGAGATAAATAAAACTATCCAATCGCTGCACTTCAGCTAATGAAGACATTGTTTCCTCTACCTGTTAAAACAGAGACAGGATACTTTATCTTAACTGAAACAATGTTAAAAAAAAAGAAAAAAAACTTTTAAAACCCATAATTATACTGTAAGAACAGAAGGAACACAAGAAGATTTCCATAGTTTCTACTTGGACAATCAAGATTGATATTTAACATCTGCCTACACCACATCTATTACCTTTTATTTAATGTTAAACATTTGCCCTGATTTCAAAATGAAATCATAAGGAATACAGCAATGTTACAGCAAAATGAAAGAATCTCTAATCCATGCGAAAACCTATCAAAAAGACTAACCACATCACTCTCACTACTTTTAAATAAAGGAGGAAAACCACCGTATCTTTAAGAATGCTTTAAAACATTAATGTAGAGGGAATTTCTCACAATCCCATCTAGCATAGTAGTCATATTTTTAAGCTGAACTCAACTGCACAAGTTAGCTGAAACGTGTCTAGAACCTCTAGAATATTACAGACTAATCACTTGCCAGACAAATATGTTATTATGGAAGTACCAGATGTGGAGAAAACAAATGAGATTTCTAGGGGGGGAAAAACCAACCAACCAACGAAAAAAAACAAACACCAAACCAGGATTTGCTAAGGACAAAGGTTACTCTTAAAGCAGGTTTGCTTGCCTCAAGCACAGTAGTTTTTTCTTTTCTGGAACCATTCTGCCAGCCAGCCAAAACAACTCAGAATAACTTATATGTAAAATACTCATTTATCTGTAAATTAATTGGAACGTTTTACATGACAGAATGTGTAAGGACAGAAACTGTTCCCTATTAATCCCACCACAATCTACAAGATGTTTTTTCCCATTGAAGAAGAGATACAAAATAATACATTGTTCACAGGTGATTTAAAATGAACTCTTTAAGTAGTTTCAAGTGTGCAATTAAAAAAAAAAAAGAGAGATTAAATTAAACATGCCAATAGACTGATGCATATCTTCTCATTAAGAAGTGTCTTACTGTTAAAAAAAAAAGCAAGGATGATTTTCTTTCTTATATTTTAAAGCTAACAAGTTTAATGATACATTATTTTCATGCTAATAATCAACGTGAGCCAAAAGAAGAGCCAAGATAGCACAGGTTACTGGTAACAAAACAAAAATCTTATCTTTAGGTCACCAGTTAAATCACTGACAAGCTCAATACATGCTTAACAGACTCTAACAACTGATACTGCTCCAGTCTATTTGGGGTTGTAAATCATACTCCTCATCACGATACTGAAGTGCTCCGTTGGTGGTCTTGATCTTTTTCCTTAGCCTTATGCAACCAGAAACACTGATGAACACAAAGCAAAGGGGCCCAAAATCAAGCAAGACTGAGTATTCACATCAGTTGTGGTCTCTGCTATCTCTGTCATCTTCTCTCCTCTTATAGTAAAGCCTGAATTGAAGTTCTATAATGCAAATTTTTGAATAATTTATGTTTATACTAAAAATTTTTTCATCCTGAATACAGACTTCTTTTCCAAACAACAAATTTATCTTGTAAAGCTAGCTGGAATACATTTGTTCTATATGGTCTTAAGCTATTTTAACAGGGACTTCTTGCCTTCTGCAAGTTGCACAGCTCATTTCGAAGTTTTACAGTAGTCAGTAACTGGGAAAAAAAAATAAAAAATTCAAGCTGTATTTGACTGTGACAGATTCAAAATATTGCAATTATGTAATCTCATTGCCAGATTTTATATCTGTCTAGCTGAAAGAAAGGCTAATGAGAAAAAGGATTCTCATCCAAAGTACTGTCTACTTTAAAAATCATCTGTAACTGCAGGAACAACTTAAACTCTTAAAAATCTTGGGAGATTAGCTTTTCCATATATGAAAATCAGCTTGCTTTGTAGGAGTATGATTTGTAAGGTTTTAAATGGACTTCGCTGACTTTATAGACCACTGTAGGACTAAACAGACAAGATACTGCAAAACATACCAGATCCATCTGTCCAAGGCTCACTTGGACAGAGTGTTTGTTAAAAAAACAACCACCCCCCCTCCCCCAACCAAAACAAACCCCCCACATATCCCACCCTCCCACTGGCTCTCCATGAGACAGATCTTCATGCGACATCTCTTTGACCTGCAAAGTCCTTTCAATACTTGTTTCAAGCTTTGTTCTATTTTACTTCTTTCGGAACAGTTTTCTAAGACTTATGCCTTCTTGGAGGCAGCCTGCCAGCTATGGGGTCATAAATAACTGATGCTACACAGGCCTTTGGAATACTATGCCTGGGAGCAAGAGAAAAGGAAGTAGAATAGCCATCGCATTTAAGGTGCACGTTTGGAAAAAAGACAACTTGGATAGGTCACAATTGTACTACATGAGGATGGCTTGCTGATTTATTTGATATTTAGCTCGGGAAAGAAAGAGGAAGAGAGAAATAAGAGGGCAAAATAACGTTTAGCCAAAAAGCTCATCTATTATCAGGACATCTACAGATATCCTTTATTTTAAAGCATGCCTGCACCATTTAAATTTTTGGTTGTGATGGGGAGGTAAAAAGGTCAACTACTGTAAAAATCAGTCTGATCTTTGTCTGAAAATAAAAAAATTATTATGAAACTATCGCTTTTTTAAGGCTAGTAGTGTTCTTGATCTATAGGTGACTTGTTCTTTAACAGTCAGAAAATAAATTTTAGTTTCTTCTTGGCCACTTGTGTGCTCCTGTGTTTAACCTAACATTAACAATAATCCAGTGACTTATACCCACCTAAAAACTAAGCATCAACAGTTCAATGAGTGCCAACCGCATGCCCAAGGTTTTATGGAATTCAGCACCAAGCATAAGTCTTGAACACCTCCTGTCCCAAAACTTAACCTAAACCATGGCCCAGTGATTAACATCCACCCAAGTAAAGTGTTCTTCTAGGCCAATAGCAGCCCTCATCCAACTGTGAGCTTCCATGCTCCAGTAATGTACTTCAAGCCATCTCTTCTGAAACCTAACCTAAAAACACTTAAAAAAACCAAACCAAAAACAAACAAAAAAACCCAAACAAGTTATAACTATAGCCTACAGACCCATACTGGGTGGTTTTGGCCACAAAGTAAAACTGAATTCTAAGGCCCTTCTCAGAAGCAGCACATATTCTAACTCTATGGGCCTTCAACCAAAGTTATGAAGAAATGTAATTCTCCAGGCTCTGCTGTCCCAAACTGTAAACCCAGCTCCAAACTTAATTCTAGTATTAATCATATCAGTATGTACAGTGAGAGATGCACAACCTTGGACTAGCCACAAGCCATTACTCCCCACTGGTACAGCCCACAGTCAGTGAGCAAGCCTTACAAGATGTAGTAATAAGGCCAACTCCTAAGTTTCTTACCTGAGTAATATCCTTTCCTGTTATGTCAGCCAAAATCAGATATTAACCAGAATTCTGCTGACCACACTTACGTAGGAGCTAATATTTGCCTTAGAAACATCAGTGTACATTCTAGTCTTATAGTGTTTGTGAGATGCAACAGTATGTTCAACTCTTCTGGAACCACTGTTGTCCTAGACTTTAACCTCAACTTTAGTCCCACCCTAACCCTAGCACTACCCTGTCTTCCAGTTCCATAGAAGAAATAACCTGTAAGACCCTAATGTCTGCTGCTGCTAATCTTCATTACAGCCCTGTGGATTTGCAGGATTCAACATTAAACTGAGATCTTCAAACTGTTGTCGGGAAATAGATGTAACGCCTAACAAGTATGAACTGTGATCTGGCAAAGCAGAAATATCAATATTTTGACTGACAAATTATAACATTCATAGATCTTGCAGCCTTTACAGTGACTTCTAAATATTAACTAATCACCAGAACAGTGCCATAGGGATAGATCTTTGCAGAACAGTTTTATGACTAAACACAGCATCCCAAGTATTCCCTCATGCTTCTTTCATTCTAACAGAGTGAATCTGATCAATTTGAAGTTATATGTATATCTAAATGTTTAACTATTATATTTCTATACAATATTTGAAACAGATTGCTATACACACACATACAGATGAAAAATATGCAATCTCCAAACAAAAATAGTTGTATTGTACAAGTTCTTAGCTCTAACAAATAAGATTTCAATGATTTATTCTTCTGAAGAAGTTGCCTTTATCTGTTTTAAACAGACTAAGTAATTTCAGCTATGGAAAAAGATGTGACAGACAGAGGGTACAGTCAAGGTCATGCAACACCAAGTAATTTCAAAAGATCTGATCTTTGTCGATAAGCTCTTAGTCAAAGATTTCTGTGGTTTAAACCTAACAGCAAGGCAAATAATTATGGCTCTGTTTAGACAAAGTGTCTTATCAATAGTAAAAATCAGAAACACAACAAAATATTAAACCAGCTCATAGTTTACCTTTTCTTTAAGGTGCTGAGAACATGGTATTGCCATTATTGTCACCAAAACTTTCATTAGCTGTAAGCTAATTTCCTTGCAGTCTTCCTGGCATACTTCAATCAATGCTTGTACACAATAAAGCAACTGCTCCATATAAAAGACCTATTTTTTTTTAATAAAAGCATAAATTTATTATGTTTTGTTATAAAATAGAACATTCTTTTTAAGGGAGAGATACGGGAAATTACAATAATCAAATCTGAGCACTGTATAATCCCCTAAATTGGTAACATATTAGTAATTTCATGTTAGTTCTTTTGATTACCTACATTCTACTTCTTATAGAATACAACATAATCTTCCTCCCACACCATTTGTTTGTATTTACCTTGACCTGTTATCAAAATAAATGACCTTGCTCTTAATCACACAATTGTTCCACTGTGAATAAAAACATCAAAGCATTTTTGAATGCTTACTGATGGTACTTTCTCATTCTGAAGTGAAATTTGTTAATTAATAACATATTTGTTACAACTGTTTCAAATATTATTCCATGTTTGACTATTTCGAATGGAACAATAATGGTTAAATACATAAACCAAGAAAACCTGAGTGTCTGCTTTTATCTCAGCCAGTTTATCTCATTTGATGCAAAATAATGCATGTTATCTTGATTCAACTGATACCAGTTGGAGTCAACACTGTTGTCAGTTAGTCTGCAATAACTTCTATGATAAAGTTCATCAGATATTCCACGAAGCTGTCAGATTACATTCAATGAACAGAAGGGGCCATTGTTACATATTTACTTCCAAAAAATAAATCAAGTCTAGGAATAGGTTAACTATAAATGTTACTAATCTCATAGACATGGTCAATCCTTAGCTAAACAGTGTCTATGCAGCATTTGCTGTTAAAATAGAGAAAGATTGTTTTCCAAGACCAAAGGCTAGAATAATTCCACCAAAAGCTTCAGCTGCAGATGAATGTGTCTACTGTATCTAATGCCAAATGGAAGTGGTAAGCTTAAGACCTCATAGCAATTTTGTAGATACACTTCAGGGAACTGTTATTTGAACAATCAGGTTATAATGCTTCTAGTTATATGAGTTCCTAATCACCACAGGCTTCATGGAGATTAAGGTTAATTCCTGCATCACTGGTACATATTCCATTAGGGAAGAAGCCTAATGAGGGAAGAACTTTAAACGTATATCTTACATTGGCTCAAAAAGATAATTATGCTAGATTCAGTCTACACACATGAATAACTTTTAAAGGGAAGTCTGCATCTGACATAAAGTTAGAATCTTCTGAAGGCACAGCACTGGCCCTTTTTTGGTCATCTTAAGAGCACAGGCCTAACAAACTTTTGGTGGAATGAAAGCCGGGATTTCATTATTTGGGAAATTGTAGGGATTATTCTTCTGCATCTCTAACAGATCTATTTCCATAGCTGAGCAGTTGGGGGTGGGGGAGGGAAGTAGTAATTCTGGGAGTTAAAAATCTCCATTCCATGTTGAAGAGAATCTCTCACCTCCTTATATAGCAATTGATGAATATTCTTCAAATACTAAAATGAAAATGGTCTTCAGGCTCAGCCATTAGTTAAGGGTACACTTGGGTGCAAATTTCTAATTTATAAAGGTCTTCCTCCTAGATTCTCACTTAAAGAGAAGCAACCAGGCCCAATGGTTTACAAAGCATGCTCCTAAATGTACACATAAAAGTACCGGTACCTTCCTTTTAAAAATGGAGAACAATAATAATACAGAACAAAAATAAGATGATGATATTAAGAGGGAATCTTTCTTGGGAAACCTGACATGCTAATTACAATGGACTGTGAAATGTTTTCGGTCATTTTCACTGATAAGGATCAAAATACATGATCTTGTTTGGATTGTGAACAAGAAATTTTAAAACATGGGTTAAATTCTGCCTCTGGATCAGCCAAGGTAGTCCTCAATTACTACAGCACATACTGAACAGCTTCTTCTCTCCCTGTTACGCTTTTTCATTTTCCTCTCACTATCTGAAGACTTTTACAGCAGTTCTCAAACTTGAACCCACATCTGCAGAAAGGATAGACTACTAGCAAGCTTTTGGGAATAGCAGATTTGACCAGGAGACCACAACATGGCCCAGGGAGGAAAGGGAAACTTCTGTTTTCTCTCAAACACAGGCCCACAACTATATCCTGAGATAGCGTGGGGCAGGCGTGCAAGGGAGCAGATAAGAATGGGAGCATTTAGGGAGAACAAGGGGAAAAAAAAAAAAGTTGAGAGAACGACCAGTCTAAAATTTTGGTCTGTTGTATATTTTCCGGTAAGCCTCACCTCTTCAGATTGTTGACAAACTCCAGCTTGAGACAGCGTGTCACCAAGATTGGTTAGATGAGGCTGTAAGATTTCTTTTGGGCTACCTCGAATCACTGCAGTTAGAACCATTATACAAGATGGCTTAGGTGGCTTCCCAAAGGCTGATGTGATTAATTTCAATGACACCTTAGGGCTGACAAACGTTCCAATCAATTCTGCTGCTTTCACACACTGAAAAAAGAACAGGAATAACTTGAGAATTTTTCTAAAACACAAAGACCATTCAACATATCATGGGCTTTTTATGATTCCAGCTGTTATTTTAAATGCTTCAGCAGTTGCCTTGTAGGACTTTTCCACTCACTCAGTAATGATTATATGCATGAAGAAATTTTCTTGACATGTGTTCAGTAAGCACATAATAAGGCATGCAAGCACTCTTCTCAGCATCAGACAAACTTCCATGAGAAAGTAATGCACAGAAATGAAGTGTACAACTTTCAGTGTAATAAAGTCTCCAGTTCAGAATAACCAGATGTTGCAGATTTAGTGGTTTAGCATTGTCCTCCAAATGCTGTTCTGAGGCATGCTCTTAAAGCACCCACCAACCGTCTATTAAAAGCAACAACAATAAAACTCTGAAAGAGGAATTTTTTTGTTATTGTACTATATTTTGACACTGACGTTAGAGATCTGGTTTAGTGTGGAAGCACTGCCATGACGGAACTGCTCACTGCTTTCAATCTCTTACTTCTTTAACTGAAAAGGCTTAAATTACTATGTATTCTCCATGATACTCATGCCTTTTGGTGCCATCTCTGCCTTGCAGACATATTGGTGTGTTGTATTCCACATGAAATACCATTACACCAAAGCTTACTCCCTAACTAATGCCCAGTATTTACAATCAGGTGCATGAATAAACATATAGCCACCTACTGTGCCATCACCTGTGCAACAGGAACATTTCTTCCTAACCCATTTATTTAATGGTTGGCTTATTTCCTCAAACATGAAAGCTTATTTCCCTTTGTATATAATTTTTGGTCCACTGATTTAGCCATGGATTTTTAATTGCACCTAGTTAATACCTGAATTATCCTAGTTTTTTTAGTCTCAATGGAAGCATGTAGCCATGAATTCTACAGTTTAAATCTGCACTATACATAGCTGTTTCTTTTCAAAATGGTGAAGACTCAAAACAGTTATAATATACTCTATGTAGATGTGAACCCTCCCCTCCCCCATATTTGCCTTAGAGAAAGAAAAAGACTCTTAGTACTCTGAAAACTGGAAAAGGACAATACAATTAAACAGTTGAAAAATACAAACTGATACATTTGTATGGATCAAGTTATCTACTGACTTTAACAGGGGGGAATAAAAAGAAAAAAGGAAAAAGAAAAAAGGACAAGAGACCATCTGGTCTTTCATACATCTCATTTGGTATTATTAGGCTGGAGAAGGACATGTCCATTTTCCAAGTTGGTGGCTACTCTGAAATGGGTTCTACAGTGACAAATGATAGAGGAGATCACCACAGTACCCTGGGAAGCAGCATCACTAAGGAGATAAAAGGCATTCACAAACCAAAGTTGCTAAATCTTAAATTTTGGCACAAGGAAGAGTAAAATTAAATACAGAAACCATCCCCTAACTGGGAATAAATCTCTCAGAAGCACCTGCAAGAAGATTCGTGGTGGAATTCTAAGAAAGAGACAAGTATGGTCAAAAAAAGGCAAGGGAAAACTATGTGTTGCTTGAACACACTTTTAAATTTATATTTATAGCAACAAGCACTAGATAGAAAATAGATAGGACCAGGACAGCAGGGCTACATGGCTTTATTCTTCTAATTATTTAAGTTTTGTTATATATTTTATACAAGCACTAAGGAATTTGGAAAGCTCCATACCCATAGTAGCTTATCTCTTACTTCAGTTCTGGGGCATTGATTTCCTAAGGCCCGTATAATGCTTTTTTGAAACAAAAAGATGACTTTTGACAGTATTGCAGGTTTACTTCTCTCTACTATTGACTGGTGTGTGACTGGCTTAGTTTACAAGCTCAGTCTCACTGTGAGGCAATATGGTTAAAGGTCAGATGCTGGTCCTGAAAGGGGAGGTGGAAGGGGTGGAATGGCTAGAAGGGGATAACAGAGTAAGAATTGGGGGAAGGGGAGGAACAATTCGGGAAAAATTAAGAGAGAGGGACAACAATTAGTACTAAAAAAGACTAAAGACAACAAGAAATCGCAGAAAAATTAAGAAAAAGGATAATTTCAGAAATGGATTTCACGGTCTGTATAGCTCAACTGATAGCAGGAACCTAAAGAAAAGCCTAATTTGGAAATCAGCTTTTCTGACATTGGTTGGACTACTTGCATCCAGTAAGCAGAACACATTCTTCCGATTTCCCAAAGCAATAAAATTTGTAGCTTTAAAGTAAGTTACATGGATTTTTTTTGTTATACATATGCTCTCTTCTTTATGTAGAATTATGTACAGAAGATTTTATCTTAAAATTGTAAAAAGATTTGTATTGCCTGTCTATCCTCTGCTAAATTTATCTAATGTCAACTACATCTGTTTTATTGGTAAATTGTTGATCAAAGTGTTGAGAGCATCAACTGTTTGAAAAAATGCTACTAATTATTCCTTACAAAAAACATGGGAAAAAAAAAGGTATTTTACGAGCATTATGTCAAGTATTCAAAGACTGAATATGGGTATCACATGGAATAAACATACCTCAATATTTGGTTCGAATTATAGTTGGATTATGAAGCAGGAGGAGATAAGTGAAATTAACCTGAAAGTGCATGACCTGCACATTTTTTTAAATTGAATTTGCTGCCCCAAGGCTTTATGCTTTAATCCACTGCTTAGGATTTTTAGAGAGATCATTATCAATGCTTCACCGGGTTCACATATAAACTAAAGAGTATTTAAATAACTTTACTATTGGTCTTCATACCAGTAATACAAGAATTTACTATGTTAAAATAAATGTATAAGTAAATGTAACGTTCACATTTTTTTAACATCCATAAAAACTTGAGCCTGATCCTTCAGTCATGGGCACTTTCTAGTGACCTAAGGTAAGGTCAACCCTCAGAAGACAGACTCAGAACTATAAAGGATAGGGTCTTTATTCAGTGTACAATAGATACTTATCAGATTAAACTTACGTTTTTAACCACATCCCTTTCTTCATCCAAGCATGCTTGGTACAAAGTTCTAAGCAGTAGTTCCATGTGTTGCGTTATGTGATCCTCTGCATGTAGCAACAATGTATACAGAAGCTGGGATGCTTTTATTCTTGTGCTTTCAACCCAGTCCGTTATATCATGACAGAGACCTGGAAGAATTTTTGAGAGGTTTCTTGACACAAGTTCCCGACAACCTAGTCCTGGTCGAGTCACTACAACAAAACAAGAAAACAAAACCGAAATAAAAATACATTTCAAAGGAAAAGCCAATGCACACTAATCCTTAGAAAAGTTTAAAGGATCCAAGATAAGAGCTATGGGTGTCTGCTTCAGCATGGAACAAAATATTCCAAATGCTGCTGAGGAATTCACCTGCACAAGTTGCAGTTCTTTAATATATATTGCAGAATTTAAACTTCACATAGCTATCTGAAAATTTATGTATTTATTACTGGATGGTGACTTAAAGATTATGTGTTTTAAAATGTTTACAGAAGGAGAAGAGAAAGATAACTGAAATGAGCATAGCACATTACCCACTTTGGAAAACACAGCTTAATAACTTCCTTTTAATTTTTATAGCAACACAAACCCCATTAAAAAATTAAACTGAAACGCAGAGATAAAACAGAAGAAAGACTTTTCCATACAAACATTGTGGTATGACTGAGTTAAATATAATTTGGAGGCAGAAAGAAAGGTAGAAGACACAAATAGTACAGGGGACATGAACTGCAATAAAACAGACAATGGCATTGTGCCCTCTAAAGGAAAAGGTTAAAAGTGTACCTCACAAATTAAAAGCAGAAAGGGTACTATGACTTGTACAAGTGCTATGTAATAGATCAGGCCAACCAAATTTCAAAAGTCACAGCTATTATATGCTCTCTTTTCTAAGGCCTTTTAAGGAAAAGCAGCTCACTGCTGTGCCTCTTCAATCTCTGTCCGATTTTTATATTAAATAACACATTTCAAAATGGTATGAAAGATTATACAGGAGTTGGGGGGGAATCTGTTTTTTTTAGATTGAATTTGATTTGTAAAGACTTTCTACAATGTCAGGGTTTGCTGTTATCTTTTGTTTTTAAACAAAAGTCCAAACTGTTACAAATACATATTCCCTACCTCAATAAAGGATGTAAACTTCCAGAGAACTAATAAACTTACCTTCCCCGATAAATGCTTACTGTCCTGTCTTAGTAATCATCAAATTTACATCCTGGCTCATTTATAAACCTCTGAGACTCAGAGAAGTAACTTGACCAATATCACAAGCAACTATCAGACCTCCACTCTGTACTTTACACAGAAAACTATGACAGTGCTTTCCAAAGAACTGCAATAAACTTTTGTAGTTACTTTCTCTACAGCCAAATTTTTTTCCTTTACACTGTACATGCTTATACAAACAAAATCTGAAAAGTTGTTCTCTGAGAACCACCATTTTATAAGTGCCACTCACAATGTTCTCATATTCTTTTAAGAAAGAAACGATATTCATTATGAGGTGTCAAAAAACATTGAATGTGCAAATGTATTTTTTATTTCTGGTACAGGGTTATCCTGTAAATGTTCAGAAAGGAAATGACTGAGTTGTCTCAGGATATTTTCCTGCATTGGCCCATGTAACTGCAAATGCCAAAAGGAAAATGGACTAAAGTAAATGGTCTGAAGAATACAAAAGGCTTATAGAAATGCCTATGAAATACCTAGTCAGAAAAAAAAATAATTCAAGCATCAGGACATGAATTGCTGTTTCTTTTATCAATGGAGGATAACATTTTGGATTATGAAAACTGACAGTGAATACCAAAAGGTCAAATAAAGAAATCAACTTGAGACAGCAAATACAGACTGGCATCCTATTTGACCTGAGGCAGAATTTTGTTTGAAGAATTTGGACCATTCTTTATCAGTAGTTCCTTCATTTCAGATGTTCAAATACAGGCGTTTATCCCTGTAAGCTACTCCTGTCAAAGACTTCCCTGCTATAAACTGTCTGCACCTGTATCCTAAGGCAATGACTGCTGTTGCTCAATGGAAAGCTATTCAGTTGGTTGGATGACACCAGGTATGAGGTCTAACTCTGCTCTTCCTCTGACCTGCAATATCTGTCATCATGAGATCAAAGCACAGAGGGGCTCATATGTCAGGTCCATTAGCTTGACAGTTGGACAAAGATAGTTAAGTAAAATGTGCTATAAACTCACAGTTGTAAAAAGATATTCCAGTACATTAAATAAATCAGAAGGCAACAAAGTGTTAAAATACATAATTATCATATTAAAAAACAAAACAAAAACCCCACAACCAAACAAATGTTTGTGAAAGGGAATCTGAGGGGAAGGACACACATAATAAGAACTCATCCATATACAGTATATGGTATGACACCAAAAATATTCCCTGAAACTAAGGTATGCTAGGGCCTCTGATAAAGTTTCGTATCTGTAAGATTAAGTAGCTAATCACCCTTTCCTCTCATTTTTCTTATCTTTTGTCACACAAAGCCTGACTGTTAATAAGACATACAATTTGGAAATAAGGATAAGCAGCAGGAAATTATATCTTAAAGTCACCATTAACTTGGGACTCAAGTCCAAAATTATCAGGTCATTTCTTCATTCTTTAGTTATGTATATATATACACACATATATATGTGTGTGTACATATGTCACATTCAAGCCTTAACTGCATCATTCTACCAAGCAAGATGCATGAAAAGTCAATTAAATGCAGGGCTGGAATGTTGCCCAAATTCATGAAGCATATTTATTGTGCTAAGAAGATTATTTCAGAAAGTACGTATCATTTAAATATGAAATAATTGGTAGAAGTACTTTTCTAAAAAAAAAAAAAAACCCACAAAACTGTGTACACACACAAAACCCAACACACTTAGAGAAAACTGAACAAGACAACAGTGTTAGCAATATAAATGGTAACAACTGTTTCAAGGACTAGCATATAAAGCCTTTTATGACCTTCACTGTAGCATGGTCATTGCAAACTAAGTGACTGGAACTTTGACACTCAACTTCATCAGTTTATGCATGTTAAAAAAATTCTCTGACTGCCAAAAAATAGAAATATGTTTCTGCCATCACTAGTGGAAGTAAAAGCAATCTTTACCATTTACAAACCCCGAGGTAGTATTATATATAAAATAAGGAAGAAAAAAAAAAATGGAAAGGGTAACAGATCAACTTGCCTGTCTTCAAAGCTAAACAGTTCTGTCAAACCAGTCACCACTATGAAGTGCTTCCCTTTTCATTCAAGCATTACTGAGTAAAACAACTTTAAAAGGGGGGGAAGCATAATTTTAAAGAAGAAAGGACTCCGGAACCCACTGTCATGGAAAGGATTTTGCTGCTAGGTATTCTGTGATGTGATTGTCACATAGGCACAACTCAAGCATGAACCTGCTCTTTCACACCAAAAGAGTTTTTATTCTGTTAAATATGAGTATAGACATCACTAAATGACCCATTTAAACCCTCTCTCTCATCAACACCCATATGCATATGTTTAAACATTAACTTTATGAACCTGAGACAGGAAACAAGCTTCAAGCTACTGCAAACATAACATTTTAAAACTACCTATAAATCATACAGTACTAAAAAGTAATCTACCCATGCTGCATATCTTGGTTTTTTGTATATAATAAAGGAAATTACTGTTTCTGTTCCCACGTTCTTCATGTATGCTCGCAGATTTTAGTTAGCATCCCAGTGTCTCACAAAGAAGTCTGAAATCATTTCACTCCAAATTTGTCTTCCACACCAATTCTGTGGATCACTAATGCTGTGTCTAGTTCTTATTATTCAAGGGCTCAGCTCACAGGTTCTTTCATCCTGCCTTCCTTTGTGGTCATCTCTATGCCCACTCTTCACCCGGCTGCTAGCTAATATAGAACTTTCTGCTGCTTCTGCATCACTGCTTCATCTCTTTTTCAGCATAGGCATCTTCATTTATTCTTTCTCCAAAATGCATTTTGGGATTAACGGAAAAACTGAATGCAGTTACTGAAAAAATGTTTTTTTTTTTTTTCAAATTTAAATGTAACATAAATAATTTTATATACATATATGCTATACATTATATTTTTTTATATATGCCACTCCTATACATTAACTAATATTACATTTTGTAATGAATATTACACATCCTGCTCTGCTATTATTACTGCACTGCAGCTCTCATAGATTATTCAGGAAGTAAAAACCACTTTCAGTGCAACACTTACCTCCTTTGGGATAATGAGATGGTGAAACACCAAAATCCATCTTATCCTTCAGATCTTCTTCATTTTCTTTCTCCCACTGCAAACCTATCTTTTCCCAATAAGTCCAAGCCAGTTTCCTAGACACAAAATAAGAGTTTTATACCATCGTGCCCCCAAAAGAAAAACATTTTAAAATAAGACTTCCAGAAATTCTAACTTCTTCAATTCAGCTGGAAGGATGGGAAGTGTTCTTGCCATTTAACCGAGGGACATTAAGGTGAAAGTTTATGCTTCTTTTGTGGACAGAGGACACCTCTTCCAAAGGATAATTCTGTCTCTGTCTACCTCTCTGTCTTCGTCTCCCTCATACTTACTTGAACATAGCATAAAAGGACAATATAACAAAAGTTACTGAAGATAATGCTATAGTTTTGGTTTAAGAAAAAACAAAAAAAATTTTTTTTTTTTTCCTCCAGGCTACATTTGTGAATATAGAAACACTTCCCTGTACGACAACTACTTACGAGGGGCGGGGGGGGAAGAAAGGAAAAAGAAAGTGTTCTGCTTACATATTTTCAGGAATTTCATCAGTAAAGCTGCCAAGTAACAAAGGGATCAACTTGTGAAAATATGAGTATCTATCTCGTAGGTGCAACAACCATTCTCCAATGACAGTTGTTACAGCATGCCGAACCTACATGGAAGCAAAAAGACTATTTTAAATATGTCAGGAAAATACCAGAAAAACTAAAAAATAATATTTGTTTTTGGTATATAAGACTTGGTAAAGTGCATCAAAAGTCTCAGAAGAAATTACAAGAGCCAAGGATTTTCTCACTTGCAGCAAGTATCTTAACGTGCAAGGTACCATGCTCCCTCTTGTGTTCTCACTCTGGCTTAGACTTAGAGCATTTGCTGCACAAAAGCACATCTTAGAGGAAGGTAAGATACAGACCTAACTCAGAAAACTCTAAATTCTCATAGTTAACATCTCTCTAAGAATGTAAGAAATGTACACTTCTCAGGAATTTGAAGCTTTCCAAGCACATCTCCAGAAGACCATTTTCTCTGTTCACTGTAAAGGAAGCCTAAGTTAAATGATGTGAATACACCCACTCAAAAATTAAAATATTTTAGTTATGATTAAGTTGCACATTTTAAAATTACTGCCTCAATTGCATCTTATGAAGGGACTGGTATCATAAAGTGTTTGTTAAGCATCTGAAAAGGTCATAGACTCAAGTCCCAGAGAGATTTGGCAGAATAATTTAAAACAGAATTGAAGGCACACATTAAAATAAAAAGGTGCCTACAAACTTCAACAGCCTGCAGAATTAGACAGCAGCTGAATAGGTAACCAACCTTGGTTTTGGATAGCTTACAATTGACAAAGGCTGTATGTGACATATTTACATATTTCAACTGAATAAATGAAAGCA